ATTTGTGGCCATTTAGCAAGGTGCGACAGAGCCACGAAAGTGCGGAAGCGTAAGAAAAGAAAAACGTACTTTACATAATTGCGTCAAAAACAATTTAGATTAAAATCAAATCTTTAGACTTTTCCTCCACCGTTTTTTTTTTTGTTGGCGGTCGTCGTTGTTTTGGACTTTTTTCCATGCTTTTTTCTTTCTTCAGCGCTTTTTACATTTCATATAAATAATAATAAAAATAAAAGCGCGCCCGTCAAAGCTGTAGCCTGCACAACATTTCAATTTCGCTCGCTGCGTGTTTTTGTTTCATGTTGTCTTGTAGTTGTTTGAAAGCGAAGTGATTTGGAGTGTGTCGTGTGTTCATAATTTTTTTTTTTCGTTTTGTCGTTTTGTGCGACAACTGAAAACAAAACCACCATTGACATCGATGCAAGTAAATTTTCGTGAGAAGAAAACGGCGGCGGTGGAAAGAATAAGTGGCGGTATAACGGTAGCAACAGCAGCAGCATGTCGCTTTGATAAATTATATGCACAGTCACACACAAATACAAAACATCAGCTCAGATAAATTCATGCTCGGCTAAAAACCTAGCTAAAAACACCGAGGGATAAACAGAGAAACACAGCTCACGAGAAGAAAAAAAAACAACCTCAACACAACAAAAACATACACACCGAAGTGCCTGAGAAGAGAAGTGGAAAGAAAGTAAAAAGGAACGGGGAAAGCGCTTAAGAAAATTCGTCGCGTTGAAACGCGCTAGAAAGGAAATCAGCTCAACGCTGGATGAATGTTCAGCTATTGAATATTTAGCTATTTATAAGGATAAACGGGCGTTAAATTTTTGCTTTTCCTATTTTTGTTCAGTGCGGGAGGTAAACGGGGAGTGCTCCCATTTTACCGAGCATACGTACCACCGACAACCACAAAAAGGAAGACCTGCCATCGTTTTCGTCGTCGACGATGTTTAGTTCGTTTCGGCATTTCTATTTATCCGTCGCTTTCCATTTACAAATCGACTTCGTTTTTTTTCCACTTACATCTTCATCATCATCCCTCCGACATTATTAAAGTGTATGCGCCTCGAAATGGCTGCACATTGAAAAGTGTTCGCTTGGCTTTTTCACGAACCGATTGAAAGCACTGAGCGATTTCTTTTCGCCGAAAGCGTGAAACGAGCGAGAGAAAAAGAAAAAAAAACACGCACACACACACCACATGAGCGAAAATTGAGAGAAAAACCTTAACAGAGGTTAAGTGTGTTTAGGTTAAGTTAAACCAATTGAATGACGGCACAGAAACAACGAAGACGAAGATGAAGAGAAAAAAAATGAAAAGAAAACCCGTGCACATAACTTAAGCCAAAAAGAAGCACTGCAAATTCTCAACTGGATCCACTGCATTTGTGCGTAGAATGTGAGCGAAGAAATAGAAACCGTGCGCTCCGACAAAACAAAGAGACACACGAAAAAGACGGAGAAAATGAAAAAAAACAAATGGCACATAAACATTAATTTCGCAGTAGATTTTCTCTAAAATGGTAAAATTTTATGCTTTTCCCCGTGCCAGCTCCGTTCGCTATGCCATTTCAGTTTCAGTGTTTTTTATTTCGCTCCTGTTCAGCGACACTTTTTCTGAGTATGTATTTGTACATGTTGACTTTGTCTGGTGCAAGTTTTTCCTCCCCAATTGCATTAAATGCTTTTCAAACTAACGAACAAAAGCTCAGTGTTCCCTTGCGCGCCGTTTCCATGTCAGAGCAGCAGCAAAAAATGTTTTTATTTCGTTTTGACGGTGGTTTGTATGGATGCATTTTGCCGCCAAGATTGTGTCAAATCATACATCGTAATCATAGCCGTAAACAGAAAAAATTGAGAAAGAAATGGAAAAAAAATGTAGCACGAAAAAGTTGTCCGATCGGCGAAAAGTCGAAAATTGGTAAAAATTTGTCGATGGGTAAGCTAGTGGTTCATTTGTTTTTGCCGTGATCATCGCGTTACATGTCGTTGTGTTTTGAAAGTCAAAGCAAACTAAACAAGCATTTAATCGAATACTTTGTGTAATGGCAAATTGTCTCCAGTCGTTGAGATGATGCTGCTGCTGTTGCTCACCTTCTCTCCCGTTCGGCTGAGTACCGAGATCAATAGCAAGACATTATTCTGCTTTTATTTGCTTTTCGTTTGTGTGTTGATTGCAAACATTGCGCTCGACTTGTTCGGACCAAAAGAGCAAAATGGCACACACTCAAGATGGGTGAACGGAACGGGGTGAAAAGTGAACGAGCGAGTGAAAAACGGTTTGGCAACAAAGTGAACGAGAGCAAGAGAGAGGGTGAGAGATGAAGTGAATTCTCTTTGGTATTGCAATGTTCACTTAAAATAGTTAAATGTGTACGTGTTGCGCTACATTCGACTTCGAATTGAAGCGATGCACGTGAACCAATCGAAGGCAGTCAATTTTTGGTATGAAGTAAAAAGCAGCACGTTGGATGCTGTCTATTGCGTGCCTTGGTTGGTTGTTGGATCTCTCACCCATCGTCGTTTAGTTTGGGGTTGTGATAACGATTTTCTCAGTGGCTTTTTTCCGGTATGCATTCTTGGTATTTGTTTTTTTTTCCTCCTTTTGCCTCACCGTAATTTTCAACGATGATCGAGTCAAATGCTCAGCAGCCTCGATGGTGTTCCGTGAAAATGATACCTTTGTGGTTAGCTGGCGCTGTTGCTGCCGTTCTTTTTTCTTCCCATCACATTCCCACCCTCTATCCTTTTCTCCCCCATTACTAAAACTTTTTCTCTCTACTTTTCACCACTATTCACGACGTCTCATTCATCTCACATGCTAAAGTTCATGACATCATTTCGATCGCATGAAATCAAATCACTCTCGGGTTCATTTTTTTGCTCTCTCTCTCTCTCTCCTTCCACGATATGTTTTTTTTCGGTGTGTTTTCAGCTCCTTACCTTGATTTTGTTTCTTTCGTTCGTTCCCTTCTATCTCATTTTCTTCCTGATTGTTTCTACCGCTGCTTCGTCTTTTGACATTGCTTCGCCATTTCCTCGTTCTACTTTTTTCTTTCCCTTTCTCATGCACACGAGCATATTTTCGACATGAGCTTAGCTTATTACTGCTTTTCATTTTCAAACGGTTACCCAATGCCCCGTGCTCTCTAGTCTGTATGTGTGTGAACTGTGCACGCGTTTCTATTACGGGATTTTTTCCTCGTGAAAGTATTTAGATGATTTTATGCAATAACAATCTGTTTGGGGAGAAAAAAAACAAGCGCGCTCGCCGTTGATGTGAAAACCTTTATGAAACGTACATTTTGCGCATCGGCAACCGATAGCAAGAAAGCGATGAAGAGAAAAACACATCACCCCAACGGCAAAATGACGATGATAGAGAGAAAGGAAAAAAAAAACGCGGAGAAGCGATGTGAAACACAAAAAAAAAACAAAGTGATTCAATAGAAATCGAATGTTTGTTGTGCGAGTCACGTATGCACTTATTTGTTTCTCGGGTACTCTTCGCTGTGTGGCCTGTGCTCCGTTCATGTGTGTGTCTGTGTCGACGTGTCGGCGCTTTAGGTATATGTGTGGTTTTCAGTGCGATTATAAAAATAATGATTTTGGTTCGATTGGAATTCCGATGTTTGTTTTAGCTCATACACATTCCCAGCCATTCCAATCATTCAATTGGCCAATTTTTTTTCCGTTCACTTTTTTCTCTGTGCTCGGTCGTGTTTCCGCCGCATACGTGATTGATACATTTGGTGGTGATACTCTGTGCTTTTGCTCATGCCATTTATTTTTGCCTCGATGAAATCGGTTGCAGTGTGCTGTGTGTGTGTGTGTAGCGATCACACAAATTCGGTGAATCGAAAATGAGCTGGAAAATGGCACAACATTATTCGAGCAACGTACGTGCGCACTCTGCCTTGCAAAATTGAATTATTTCTCAGTTATAATATGTTTAAATTTTTTGACATCTTTTCGTTTAGTGAGAGCAGCAATTTCGTGAGCTGAACATTCTATTACCGAACAGTCGTTCGCTCGGTGCTTCTCTCTCCTGTTTTCGGTTCTTTTTTTTCTGCTGAAATGTCTCACGCCCGTCGGCAATTTTTGGCTGTGGCATACTTTGTGCGTGCTTGTTGATTCAGCGTAAAAGAGAAAGACATTAAGAGAGATAGGGGGAGTAAGACGATTGAAGATAGAGAAGCAATAGTCACGCAAAGCGACTGTGAAAATCGAACGGTAGACGACATCAACCAAACTCTCGTTCTTCCACAAAATGTCGACTAAATAAATTTCAATTTGTATAAATAAAGTATCAATATCTCCTGTGGCCCGTGCTTAGTATGCGTGTAGGCCGACCGAATCGAAGAAGATCATATGCGTTCACATCGTGCGTAAATGCGAATTGACAGCATCGGAATCGGTTCGTGTTTGGCTGATGAAATTATGGCTTGTGGCTGATACAATTATTATTTTCAGACAATTTGATCGAATTTAAGGGGCGCGCACGAGACTCTCAGTCTTTGCCCGACTGTCACAACGACACATTCTTGAATATTTTATTTTTGTGGCTGTCTACTTGATTAGCGGCCGATGTATTTCGCACGGTGAATACTAATTTGGTATAATCATGTCTATGGATAAAAATGCTCAATGGCTCCCCTATCGCCGAATTTGACAATAGAAAAACAAAAAAAGCGTTCGGTGGCTCGGTCTCACTGTAATTACCAATGTAATCAAATGAAAATGATGCCATTCTTGGTGGTGGTTTACTTCGGAAAAAAATTCGCTTCTGTCGTTTGCGAAGGCAACATGTCGGAAGATGGATTTAAACGTCTTATTGTCAAAAATGATTCGCGCTAAGTGAAGCAATTTTTCTGAAAAATTGTGTTTACTCATCGTACTCGAGCGGCGCTTCCCGCACACTTCAAACCAAAGCGTGAGGGATTGCATAATCGCCGGTTTGGACCGTCAAAAGAAAAAAAATGAATTCCAATTACCTTGTACGTTTGCAAATTATCCACGACGCAGGATAAGAGTGCTTCGCGTCCAACGGGGATTGTGAGATTTTGTAGCGGCTCACCGAATTTCGGCAAATCTGTGGAATGAAGCGAAAAAAGAAACGAGAAAATGAGAAAGAGAGAAAAAGATAAACAAATAAATCTTCATTATGCATTTGATGCTTATTTGTATAGATCAACGCGGGCTTAGGTCAAAATGTTGAAAAAATTCTTGAACTTGCCAATTTCATTTTCATTCTTAGGCCGTGAATAGAAAGAGAAGAATGTATGGTTTCAAATGCACAGAGAGGGAGAGAACAACTCATAAGAACACTGTAAACAAGTTTAATCGAGTTACGGCAATCGTCATAACACGGTTACGGTTCATCTAATGGGCCAATCTAATGGCAAATCATATTTTACAATATATTTACATCCATAAAAACAACGGTAGAAAAAGCGTTAAGAGAAAAAAAAATTCGTTCCGAAATGAACGTGTAAATGATATGCATACACCGAGTACGGGTCATGCCACTCACACATATAACGCAAATAATATAAGTTAAGTTGCATGAAAATTATTTCAGTGGCAAAGAAAATTTCAATAATTTATGCGGAACATATTTTATGAGTGAGTGGTGTGAACGTGTGCGTGTGTGTGAATGCATAAAAGGTCATGAAATATACACAGCGGTGCGCTTTCTCATTATATTCGGATCGGTTCACATATAAAAAGTAATTTTCCGTTATGAAGTAAGCATTTATAACTCGCTTTAGTTTGGGTAAGGCATGAGTAGTCGTTACACCACCACATGCTCTCATCGCACTCGATGCGCGTTCCACCGACAAACGAAAGATTCGTAAAGCTAAAATAGAAAGAACTTAAAAAATAACCGGCAAGAGAGTCGAAAAATAAATGAAAAATTATAACGTGAAGAGAAAGAGAAAGAGAAATGGGGAGAGAGAGAGAGAGAGACTATTGTCAACTTTCGTAAATGAATGAAAGAAAGCGTCTCTAAGTAGTGTTACAACGAACGTTTTCTCCATCTCAATTTCTATCTCGCTTCGGGTTGCAAAATGCATCATACACATACACATCAACAGACACTCATCGTCGTCATCGCTGCACAAACAAACATCATGAATGGTATTTTGAATGCAAATTGTGTAAACTCTTGTTGATATTAAAATATTCAAAACTGTTTACACCCACCTCCGCCTCCCGCTTCGCATACCACTTTACCAAGAAATACACGCCAAACTACAGCCAAGCAGAATGGCGATAGTGTGGGACAAAGAGACAGATTAAACGTGCATTAAAATGGAATTTATGTGTAATATTTCCACAGTCGGTGTGTTGGTGAATTTTTCATCTCTACCATGGAAATCGTTTACTTTTTTTTCCCGCTGCCAGAGTTCGTTTTTTTCTCTGTCTCCTCCTTTTCGTCGGATTGTTTGATGTATATAACGTCCACTGTTTCTGGATGGAACCAGAATGGGTGAATGAAAACCAGGTGACTGTCTGAAATTCCGACTTTGAATGAACCGAAACCGAAATGAGTTTGAGCCGCTGTGGGAAAAAAAACTTTCTGCACCAACGAAATGATTGAATCAATTTTGGAGTACCTAGTGGTGGTAAATCACCACTGGTGATATTACCGGTTTCAAATTCCAGCGGTAGATCTACCACATAAATCGACAGAAGATATTTGAACAGTGCACCCGCATCGAGCACACAAATTAATGTTCAACTTGACGACGCACACAAAAAAAATTTGGCACACACAGAGAAAGTGGTGCACAATTCAATTTTGGGTACCAAGATAATGGTCTTCCAATTGAGAGCGGGTGTTTGATTTGAAAGTGTGTCTGTGGGTTTGGTGTTAAGGGTTTGCAATTTGAAAATCGATTTGACACAAAGTTTTGCCAGCTAATTATTCCATGACATCTGTTTTTGGGTCAAATAGTTGACTGAAAATTTGCATGAGTGCGCTACTTATCTCATCGTGTCGTCTTTATATCATTGAATAAATTGTGGTATTCTGGTCATAATGTGTGTGTGTTTTTGTGTTTGAGAGAGAGGGAATGTGCTTGGAAATTTGCATTCTTTGCGGTGATAAGAGTATAAGGTTGAATGGATGCAACAGCACTTCTCAGAGATGATATCACACAGAGTGAATAGAACACCAGTATACATCTACACGTGTCTGTTTCTATATGACTTTGGGTGTGTGTGTGTGTGTGTGTGTGTGTGTGTGTGTGTGTAAATTCCGTATCCACATAATTTATCTATTTTAACTCGGGCATATTAAAATATTCACATTTTCGTGCATCAGCTTGTGAATCATATATTCGCTTCTCGGCGAATGGAAAACTTTCTTTGCATAACGAATGGCAACAAGCAAAAAGGGAATATGTATAAATGGAGACAGGAGTGAAAGGGAGCGAGAATGTGATAGCATGAGAGATAGATAGAGAGAGAGAGAGAGAGTGAGAGTAATAGTGAGCGCGTACACACAGGACACGAGACATGCATCACATGCACATAAATTATTCATTCGAGTTTAATTTAATTTATCGGTAAATTGTGACAAAATATATTAATGCGAAGTGAAGTGATTATGGTAGCTCCTTTTCAATTTTCGAGCAAGAACATTATATGCGAAATACTTTTTGATACGAGTGATGAACGAATGATAAGCTAAGTTTACCTAAGCAGCTTTATGAGCTGAAACTTACAATGTTGCTTTTTGTTTGTAACACACTCCTCATCGTCCATATCGTACTCTCTCTCGCTCGCTCGCTCTGACTTTTGCTTGCTTTATAGATTAAATTACGGTTGCAGCACAGAATCCATAAAAACTTTTATTAAAAAGTCCCATTGCGCGAGAAGTGCTCAGAACCAGAAAAAAAAAACAAAGAACGACAGCAGAAAAAAGCGAGAGAAATTGGCAAAAAGTCGTGATGCAAAATAATATCCAAAGGGAGCGGAGGAGAGAAAAAAAAACCGAAGCAAGACAAAGGATAATCCGGTTGCGATAGTCTGAAACGTGATCCATGGAAAAATGGTAGCAGTTTCTTTGTGATTCCCATTCAAAAATCACCTAATTTGATATAATCGGCCATCTGCTCTTTGTATCGGATTGCATTCGATTCGATACATCATTTTCCCTTCTTGTTTTTTTCTGCTGACAAACGATCCGAACATGCATTTGCAAAAGGCTTTTCCGCAATTCATACAGCTATTTCTCTTTTATTAAAGTCAAAATATGATGTAACACGAAAGAAATGCGCAATTCTTGTGTTGCTGATGCTCGTTAATCGAAATATGATGGCTGCCACACGAATTTAATCAACAATGCTGTTGACGTTGCTATTGAACTGCCTCGCATGTAATTGAATCGATGCCTCAATCCTCTTTTACACAATACTTATTCATCAGAGAAAAAAACGTCCGGATCTCGTCATAACAATCGGTTGTTTTCTGTTTTCAATCATGTCTTCGTTTATGTGAACGACCAACAATTTCGCATCATATGGATTATCTTGTGCTGAAAATGCTAACATTCCATAACGAACTAATTCAATCGGCCAACGCAATTTCGTAGGCTATGGATATGAGCCATCAAGTATGTGTGTTTCGAGTCCAAATGTCTTCATCTCAACGCTTAACATGAACTTTTTTGCAGATTCGACTTGGCGTTTTTTTTGGAAAAACACATCCATTTTCATCAAACGGCTCGAAAATCTCATAGGTCTTTACGATGCAATTGAAGCATAACGAAGTGATGCAATTGGTCTTTTGCTTTTGGATTTTCGCCTTTTTTCTCTGTTCAAGCACAGAACCAAATAATGCCAGTCAACAAAATGAAAATGAACGTACCGAGCAAACGAAATGAATGAAGCACACACCAAATGACCAAAAAAAAATGATAAGCAACGCGTCAAAGATGCGTGTAAAAATTCTAATTTAAAAATCCAAAAAATAGAAATGAAAAATTATGCGGAACAATTCAAAAAGTGCCGGCTTTTTAACAATAAATCAGACATTTTTTGGTGTTATGCTCGATTTCACAATCACTAGAGTTACGCTCGTTTCGTTTGCTTGACTCAATTCCGGGCTGTGTATCGGTGTCAGCAATTCATGGGGAAAATGTGAACATCATTTATCGCTTGGCCGATTGCACTTGTTTGAGTATCACATACAAAACTACCTTTTCATGCGGAGAGGTCGTTGTGGAATACAGAGTGCGCGCGCGAATCTGTTCGTTTTTTCTATCCAGTTGTTCGTTTTGCTTAGTCAAGCAAAAATTATTATTACACAACATATGGATTGGTAGTCATTTGATTCATTGTGTTTAGCTCAAGAGTACCAATAACCATTTTGTGACCTGACTTCGACTGATACTCATTTTTTGTTTCCACTTCGATGAAAGTGTCTTACAGCACACGACATGAGTATGCATTTACCCACGACCAGAATGAAAAAAAGAACGAAAGAGATGGAAGAAGCGAAAAAAAGAGAAAAACAAATATAAAATGAACTGTATGTGCGTTATCATATTGTATGGAGAATCTCCATTGGAGATAGAGATTTTGATGGGAGAAGCACGCGTGTGTGTCTATTGTTTCAAGCCCGCGTGGAAAACATGATGAATCATTGCAGGAATTATACATAATACGAGCGAATAAAAATGATGTCGCATTATTCTCTTCTCTCGTCAGCACGCTGATTTTGTCCATCGTTTGCGTTTGAATTTATCGATTGACAGTTGAATGAGCACGATTTTACTCTACATCTAGCATTCTTGACCCTCACTCTGTCCGCACTTCTGCCTCGTCGAACGTAAGTGTGCGGTCAAAATTTGATTTCGTCTCGTTTTTCAGTCGCTCCGATTTAAAGCTCATCCGAACATGTGTTTTTATTTACTAAACAAATGTTTATGATCCACTTGGAAACCACTCAATTTGCAAGATTTGTGGTTGAGTGCGGTGTGCCCAAGCATTAGGTTATGAATAAATGATCGACCCCAATATCACCGTGAAATTGAAACTAATTTGAAGAGAGAAAAAAATGGCACGAACAAATGTACGTCAT